GGGAGCCCGATGTGGGACTCGATCCCAGGACCCTGGGATCATGACCTGAGCCGAAGGCAGACGCTTAACGACTGAGCCACCCAGGCGCCCCTGCCTAAAATCTTTTAACAGTGCACAGGTTTTGGGGGTCACAAGGCCTGGCTCTAGATCTAGATGTAATATTTCTGAGCCTATTGCTTAACATCGGAGGCTCAAATTTTGTCATTCATAAAACAGACATAATATTGCCTCAGCAAAGGGTGGTCATGAAGATCCAGGGAAACACTGTATATCAAAATGGCATCAAGAGGTGACAAAGAACAGAGGGACATGGTGACAATTATCTGTCCTACCTCAGGATTCCTAACACTCCAACTCATCTCCTCCTCCTCAGCCCCCAAGCTTCTGCTTCTTCATCATAGAGAGATGAAAGACCCCAATCTTTTCTTTCTGCCCCCTCTCCTCAGATTTCTCATCTAGTCATAGGCCTTCAGCGTCCTGAATGACAAGGTCACTTACAGAGGGGTACTCATTCTTCACTGGTAGTTTATTCAGGTAGCTGTAGGTCTTGTCTTTTTGGATGGGGCAGTTGATTCCACTCTTACAACCATCAGCCTCAGGAATGGGAAAGGGCACTGGGACACCCAACACGATGCCATGCACCACGGCTTTGCTACTTTGAGATGGAATATCTAAGAGGAACAAAAGAGAATCAGATAGTGAAGGGAACAGCCTATACTAAACCCTAAGTAAAAAATTCAGATATGTTCCCAAGCAATGGCATTGCGAGGATAGCAAATCATAAAGTCTGTACTTCTTAATTCCTAGAGTCTATTTCTCTTTGTAGTTATGCTTAATATCTGTGAATGCTACCGAATAAGTATTCACTCCAAAAAAAAAAAAAAAAAAAAGCAACTGAGAGGGTTATTTTCTTTGCTCTCACCCCCACCTTGCTCTTCACTGTCTTTCAGTTTCTCAGGAAAATCAGAGCTACATAAATAACCTTACCCAACAGAGTAACTGAGTTTTTTGGCAGTAAACTTTCTGTTTATTAATTATATCAGCTTCTGTCAAAGTGTACAGGGTATCTTACAGAGTTTTAGAAGATTGGTTTCTGAATTCTCAAATGACCTGCCCACAGGATTCCATTAGAAATTAAGAGCAAAATGGAAAGGAATCTCCACAGAAATGCCATGGGCTGTAGCAGTAAGAGATAACTCTTTAGAAACTGGGTAAGATTAGAAAGAAGAGGTACATTTCTTGCTATCCCTCTGCCCTCCATATCACAAGTTGGGCAGGGGGAATAAATACAATAAAATTAGGGCAACTAGGGTTATGAGCTATTAGGTTATCCTGCAGATCCAGAATATTGGCTCTGTTTGTTTCTTTCTGGTTTGGGGATTACTTTCGTTTAGAAGGTACATTTTTGGTTTGGGACAGTAGAGGGGGCAGGGTATCATCCAGGAGAGAAAACAACTCTAGTATTTAGAGTTGTCTTTAGGCTTAAAGAAGATGACAGGAACGTTGAGATTTCTTATTGGACTGCCCCGTCTAGCTCCACAGGATGGAAAGTAAGGAAAGGATTCATGGTAGATGCCCTTTCTAGAAGTGAAGCTGAGATTTTTTCTTGGGTCCCAAATGAATTCCTTAAACCTTACAGAAGGTAAGTCTGAGCTGTGCACAGTTTGGAAGGGAGGTCACAGACGTCCTGACTGCAATGCCCCTACCCCACGCTCATTCCAATACTTGAGACTGTTGTTAGGCTTTAAGATAAACTTGAAGGCAAGAGCCACTTTTACTCACTACTGGTGAAGGTGACGTTGACACTGTAAGACTGGCCTTTGTGCAGTTTGCAGGGCTGGGTGGGGCACGGGTTCACATTCAGTTCCTTTATAACTCCAAGCCCAGAACCTGTTAAAAAAAAAAGAAAAAGGAATTGGAATAGGAGGGAAAAGAAACCACCTATGCTGTTGCCTACCTAATGGGAAGGTGCTCTGCTCTCCAGGAAACTCTTCGTATCTGATGGCTGAGAACGAATAAAATCAGTTAAGTATAAAAAGCCAGCTCCCCTGCTCTATACCCTGGGCGGGCTACACCAGGGAAAGTCATCCCCACGTGGGATTTAAAGCAGCATACGCATGGCACAGTGGTAGCTCAAGCCTCAGACCTGCCCTATCCACCTGGACTCTTGAGACTGGCTGCTCCTAAACTGCCCTCCCCCACCCCCCCCACCCCGCCATGTCCTTCAGATCCTGTCCTGGTTCTGCTCTAAACTGGTGGTTGACCAGCTTTGTAAACCCCTACCAGGGAAAGCGATTTTCAGAACGCATCTGCAGCGTATGGGCTTACACTCCACTTTGGAAACACGTGTTCTTCAAAATAAGTGTCTCTGAGACACGGTGTGTGTCTTTGCGGTCTAAACAAAGACAAAAGTGCTGTCTGTTCCCAATAAATGCTTGACCTAAACAGGTTAAGTAGAATTTTTGAAAATCCCACTGCATCATCCAGGCCCCTGAAACTGGACAGCTGAATGGAGAGAATGCAAGCAAACTGCCTGTTAACACCACCTATGCCATGGAAAGCTTTTTTTTTTCAGAGATTTTATTTATTTATTTGACAGAGAGAGAGCACAAACAAGGGGAACGGCAGGCAGAGGGAGAGGGAGAGGGAGAAGTAGGCTCCCTGTTGAGGCTCAATCCCAGGACCCTGGGATCATGACCCAAGCTGAAGGCAGATGCCCAACTGAGCCACCCAGGTGCCCCCCCACCCCCACCCCAAGGAAAGCTTAAGCTCAGCCGTCATGGCTAAGAGGTAGGCTCTGGGACCTGACACCTGGGTTTGCAATCTCATGGGCTCCATGACTGAGAAACCTCAAAACAAGATACTTTACCCCTCTGGGGAAAATAACAGTGACTGCCTCAGAGGGTAAGTGAGGTAACACACTTACAGCTCTTAGGTAAGTGTTTGCAACATAGTAGTGCTGTGTTCATTTTATTGTAAGTGTAACAAGTAAGTGTTCATTTTATTACCATCACATGGGATTCAGTCCTCGAATTTAGTCTAGAATAGTTGCTCCTGGGTGGGTTAGCAAGTTCCTTTTTGACACAAAAGGTGGGCCTCTCCTTTGCAGTCACCAGGTTAGCTTAGCCTATAGGATATGAAGAGAAGCTCGTGTAGATGCACTTTGGCTTTCTCGGCCTGTGCCTGCTCTTGGGTGGGACAGTTTCATCATACAGACCAATACTGCTCCAGCTAGGTCTGTAAGGAAGAACTTGCCGTCCCTCATCCGCAGCATGCTTCTCCATCATGGGCAAAGTTCTCAAAATACACCTGTAAGAATTCTCTTCTTCAAGCACTGTCTTCCACTGTCCTCCTATCTTCTACAGACAGGAAAAAAAAAAAATATCTGGAACTTGAATCAACAACCTATTGAAAATCAGTGCTTATGCTAGAGCTTTCAACATCCACTTCTACGTAGCTGCTTCTTTCCAGCCTGGGTCACGTGATCTAGCAGGACCTGAGGAAAGGGGAGCACTTGCAGCTCCTTCATCCAGTTTTACTGAGAAGAGGTGCTTGGACTTTCAATGTCCACAGAACAAACTCCTCAGTCCTAACTGGCAAAAATAGCAAAACCAGTTTGCTTGGTCCCATTGCTTACGTGAGGAAATACCACTCCAGGGGAAAGGGTCAGTGGTAAAGTGGAACTCAACTCGAAAACCCTTTGATGTGGGCACTGAAGTTTTTACATTATTTCCCAATTCCGAAGTCAATTGAAAATCTGTAACCGAAACCACCCCTCCCTTAAGAAGTTCTTGCCATAGGTGGACTTCCGCTTTTTTCAAATGAGTAGAACAATATCTGGATTTGCTTTCCATAGTTGTTGTTGTTGTTGTTGTTTTAATGTTAATGTTACCACTGAAACCCAAAGTGGTTCACAAACACCCACTAATTTCCTACTCCTTACTAGCTGTGAGAACTTGGAAAGTTAGTCCATGTGCCTGATTCCTCATCTGTAAAACATCCTGAGGGTTGAGCGAGTTAATAAAGTTAATATAATATCTTCATCCAAATTTGGCCACTAAGTTTAATGGAGGGAAAGGCAGTAGTTGGAGGTGGTAATACCATCTTTCAAGTGCCAGCAGTTCAGTGGAACAGCCTTTGTTAAGTATTAAGAGGCCAGCAGTCTTTACTCCTTAATCAATCCTGTCCCCTAGCCTAACTTTGCTTTTGCCTCAACATGAATTTTGATGATATAGTTAAGAGTATTTATTCCCTCATTTACTTTTCAACAAATAGTTATTGAGCAGTTACTATTACCTGGGCACTAGATATAAAGGATCAAACTTATTCTCGTTCCCATTCTGCTGGGTGACTTTGGGTAATTTATCGAACATCTCTGGAATTCAATGATTGACTCCAGGATCTCCAAGTTTCCTTCCAGCTCACTGATTCTATAAAATGTCTTCTTTCATTTACATTACACCTTTTCACTTCAGGAGAACGAATAATTCCATAGACTTGTCTCACTATTTCGTATCCGCCCCTCCCCCTTTGTATTTCCCAACAAAGATCCCTACCACAGCGGCAAGGGGGGGTTATGTGTCACAAGGTCTGACCAGCAACACGAGTTTTATATGTAGGAGGAAACAGTGATTAAGAATCACAAAATTATACAGCCCAAAGGAAGTGGTTATGGAGTAAATCATGGAAAGGAGAGTTGACTTTTGACTTGTCAGCAAAAGGGAAATTAAAAATAAAAGCAAACGGCGTGGGGAGGGAGAGGTCATCTAAGACATGAGGCATATATAAAAAGAAGATCTGCGCCCCACCGCTCACGCCCCGCGCAGCGTTGGGACCTTCAGTTGTCTGCCCTACAAACTTTAGAAAACTTGAGCAAAAGGCCCAGCTCTAGGAAATGTCCAGGGACCCCAACCACGCGTCTCAGGAAAGAGACAAAGTTGTGTGCCGTTGGGTTTCGCCGCCCGCACCTTCTCCCCGACCCCTGCCCACTCCAGCCCACTCCACGTCGCGTCCGCGGCTCAGCCTGGCCGCCCGCGGGACCCGCCCAACCTAGCGGGGGGTCTCGGCGCGGGGCTCCCGTGGGGCCTCCTGCAGAGGGCGCGGGAATCTCGGGCAGGTTCGGGCTCACCGCAGTCCTTGAAATGCACCGGCTCCGCCAGGGCGGAGGCGCCGAGCGCCAGGAGCAGGAACGCGGCGACCAAGAAATGCATCGCAGCTGAACGGGTTCCCAGCGCGAGGAAGGAAGAAGCCACAGCCTCAGTCACAAGATAAACCTGCCGGGGCGGGCCGGGGGAGGAGCCCAGTCAGGCCACTCGTCACCAGCAACCAGGGCTGGGCCTGCCCGCGCCCCGGCCCCCGGTCCGGAGAGCCAAGCTTGACTCGGTCCCGCCCAGACGCCAGCTATCTCCGCCCATCTTGTCCGCACCGCGGCCCCGCAGGCTTGGATCCATCTCCGCCCCGCCCCCTCCTTGCTCGGCGCTCCGCCGGGTTTTGTTGGTGCGCCCTCACTTCCGTAAATGGGAGCATTTGTAGCCAATCAAATCCCTTCTCCTCCAGCACCACCCAATAGGTATGCTCGGAGGCGGGGTCTCTGTGGATCCCGCCTCCGAAGGCCCAGGTGGAGAAAGGGATTGGGCGACGCGAGGGGTGGGGCTTGTGGAGGTTTGTGGAGGAAGATGGCGGCCGTCCGCGGGTTATCTCTAACGGCCGCGGCGCTGAGGGCGGTCGCTCCCTGGGCAAGGGGCAGGTAACAAGCCTACGACAGCACCTGGGAAGGGTGTTAGGTTCTGCGCCTCCAGAACTAAGGGGGGAATTAGGGCCTGCGGGAGGCGAGGGTTTGGCGTGAGGCTGTCCAGGTGGAGGTCGTCAGATTTGCCGTGAGGCTGTTCAGGTAGAAGTCACCAGGTGCCCCTCTGCTCCCGGGCTCATCCTCCTCCCTTGTGCAGCAGGCTCCTCGCGGCCTCTCGCGGACCTCAGGCTCGTCGGGAAGCGTCGTCCTCCAGCCCCGAGGCCGGCGAAGAGCAGATCCACCTCACCGCCAGCTGTGTCCAGGTAGGAGGCCCGACGCGGGGCGGCGGTACCGGGGAGAGGGCCAGGAGTGCAGGGACTTCCCCCTTGGCCCACCTTTCTTGCCTGGCATTCTTGCCTGGCATTCTTGATCCCCCCTTTTGGCATTCTTGATCCCCGTTTTTGCATTTCAGAGACTTCTGGAAATCACCGAAGGGTCAGAATTCCTAAGGCTGGAGGTGGAGGGAGGTGGATGCTCCGGATTCCAATACAAATTTTCACTGGATACAGTTATCAACCCCGACGACAGGCAAGAAGGAAGGGGTGGGTCCTCGGAGAATGTGTGGGAGGGATAAAGGTGCACGTTTATTTCAAATTTAAAAGGTTTGCTAAGAACGCCTAACACCACCCTTCACACATAGTGGGAATACAGTGAAGATTTGTTATCATGATTCAGAGTAACTATGTTATAGGAGGAAAGTTGGCCTGCCTAAGTCCGTAGTGTAGAGTCAGGCTGGACTGGATTCCAGGCCTAAATCCCTAAACATTTACCAGTATTATTCCATTGACTCTTTTTGCCTCAGAGAAAAGCAGCACCTGTTAGATAATAAGGAATGCTTCTCCTGTATTTGGAAAAACAGGATGTGCACCCCAGGGCTCAGAGGGTGTTATGGTTTTGGTGTTTATGATAGTCATTAATGTCTTCCTCCTGTCTTTTTCAGGGTATTTGAACAGGGTGGGGCAAGAGTGGTGGTTGACTCTGATAGCTTGGCCTTCGTGAAAGGGGCCCAGGTGGACTTCAGCCAAGAACTGATCCGAAGCTCATTTCAAGTGTTGAACAATCCTCAAGCGCAGCAAGGCTGCTCCTGTGGATCATCCTTCTCTATCAAACTTTGATGCTGTGCTCGCTTTGGCAGCACATATACAAACTTTGATGTGATGACAGGTGACCCAGAGATTGCTACCACTTGTACCAATCTGAGGAACCTGGGATTGCTTCCCCATTACTTTCAAGGGGAAAGGCCTTATTGTTGCAGAATTGGTTTTATTTATGCAATTAGAGAGTGTTTGGGGGCAGCATACCCTACCTTTGCCCTAGTAAGGCATAATGCAAGAACCAAAGGCAAGGGAGCCCTGCATCTGCTTTATGTTGCGAATCTGCGTTTTTTG